CTCCCAAGTGCAAGGGAGAGAAACGCACAGAAATTGAAAGTACTTGAAAGGCTTCCTTCTCAGTCACCCTGAAATTAGAACTCCCTCAGGTTAACTGGGCTCAGAAGCAGAAATTAATGTAATAAGTCACTGGGATGAAGGTGCCTCACACAGACAAAAGTGCTTTTTCTCTCCCTCTTTATCTCTTTTGCAAAAAGGAGATTCTTACTCCAAATAAAGAACCTGGTGAGTTTATGTCTCTGATCCCCACAGGCAGGGAGGGGCGGTCCTGTTAGAGGTCCGTGTTGCTCTCCGCTGCAAATTGTGTCCTTGTTGAGGCACACATCGGAGCCGCCGGGGAGCTCCAGAAGCATCTGCGGACACGGGGCACCCAGGGGACCCCAGGCTGCTGTCCCCACATTAACCTGGACGCCCCGAGGCAGAGGATGTTAAGAAAGAAGATGGGGGGTTGAGTCCCGGAGGCCCCAACTTTCAACTCCAAGACCTTGGACAGATAGATCAAACTCACAAGCCGTGTGTGTCCCCATTTGAAAACCGCAAATAATACTTAGCCTGCTTCCTCATTGAATTTGGTAACAGTGTCTGGAAAAGGAAGTAATGGACCCCAGCGCTCTGCACGTGCCAAGCCATGGGTTATTTTTGTTGTCTGCACGTGGCCTTCCCGCCTCTTCCCTGCCCTCGCCCACCTGTCCGCCAGGCGTCTCACCGGCCTGGAGGTGGGAGTTTGTCTCAGGTCACCTGGGGTCCCCTCGTGCCCCGATCAGAGCTGTCGGTGAAGCAGACGGCACGGTGTCTATGCTCGACAGACGCTCCTCTGGTGATCTCTGCACAGTCACTGTGCTGGCTCTTGCCCTGAAAGAATGTGGAACAGCCGCGGGGTGGCCCCTGAGTCGGCGCAGCTGTGGCCCGAGACCCTGTGGGCAAGAGGTCCCCTGCCCGCAGCCGTGGCCGAGCCAGCTGCCACTCGCCCTGCCGGGTCCACAGAGCGGGCGCTTCCCCGGAGGCTTCCCTCGACTCCGCTACGGAGGACAGCTGGGTGCCCCTCCCCTAGCAAGACACGGGACGCACTCTGCACCTCACTGGGAAGCTGCGACCACACAGGACCCGGGTCAGGGAGGTCGCCCCGAAGTTTCCAGCCAGACAGCATCCCGGCCCAGCCACGGTCTCTGAGAAGTAACCCAAACTTCAATAAAACTTCGGTTTTATTCGGTTGAACTTCCAAGTGACCATTAAAATTCTTCTAACATGACCAGCACAGGGAGGCCGGGTCTCACTTGGCGCGGGAGGGACCAGGGCAGAGGCAGCAGGGAGGTTTCTCCTCATGCAACACGACACCTGTTGTGGGCTGGATCCAGTCGCTGGTGTTCATAAAGTATTTGTGAGGGTTTGCTTCCCTTCTCCCAAGGTCCCACCCCAGACACAGCTTCGGGACACCGTTCCCTGCTTTTATTTTTTTATTTTTTAATATGAAGCGTATTGTCATATTGGTTTGCACACAACACCCAGTGCTCATCCCAACAGGTGCCCTCCTCAATGCCCATCACCCACCCTCCCCCCCATCAACCCTCAGTTTATTCTCAGTTTTTAAGAGTCTCTCGTGGTTTGCCTCCCTCCCTCTCAAACTTTTTTTTTTCTTTCCCTCCCCCATGGTCTTCTGTTAAGTGACTCAGGATCCACATAAGAGTGAAAACATATGGTGTCTGTCTTTCTCTGTATGACTTATTCCACTTAGCGTCACCCTCTCCAGTTCCATCCACGTTGCTACAAGGGGCCATATTTCATTCTTTCTCATTGCCACGTAGTATTCCATTGTGTATATAAACCACAATTTCTTTATCCATTCATCAGTTGATGGTCATTTACGCTCTTTCCATAATTTAGCTATTGTTGAGAGTGTTGCTACAAATATTGGGGTACAAGTGCCCCTATGCATCAGCACTCCTGGATCCCTTGGGTAAATTCCTAGCAGTGCTATTGCTGGGCCATAAGGTAGATCTATTTTTAATTTTTTGAGGAACCTCCACAATGTTTTCCAGGAGAAGAAGAGAAATAAGAAAGATCAGAGCAGAAATAAACAATACGGAATCTAAAAAAATTGTAGAGCAGATCAATGAAACCAAGAGTTGGTTTTTTGAAAAAATAAACACAGTTGATAAACCTCTAGCCCAGGCTTCTCAAAAAAAAAAAAGGGGGGGGGGAGATGGCCCAAATAGCTAAAATCGTGAATGAACATGGCATTATTACAACCAATCCCTCAGAAATACAAGCAATTATCAGGGAATGCTATGAAAAATCATATGCCAACAAACTGGACAACCTGGAAGAGATGGACAAATTCCTAAGCACCCACACACTTCCAAAACTCAAACAGGAAGAAATGGAAAACTTGAACAGACCCCTAACCAGCGAAGAAATTGAATCAGTTATCAAAAATCTCCCAACACATAAGAGTCCAGGACCAGATGGCTTCCCAGGGGAATTCTACCAGACATTTAAAGCAGAGACAATACCTATCCTTCTCAACTGTTCCAAAAAATAGAAAGGGAAGGAGACGTTCCAGACTCATTCTATGAAGCCGGCATTACTTTGATTCCCAAACCAGAGACCCAGCAAAAACAACAGAACTACAGGCCAATATGCACGATGAATATGGATGCAAAAATTCTCAACAAGATATGAGCAAATCGAACTTAACAGCATATAAAAAGAATTATTCACCATGATCAAGTGGGGTTCATTCCTGGACTGCAGGGCAGGTTCAATATTCATTCCCTGCTTTTAAAGAACCTCTGCAGAGGCACTGAGTGAATGCTGGGAAGGTCGGAGCGAGTGGGTGAGGGGCCTCTGTGTCACTGGCCCTCGTGAGCACTCGCTAAGCTGTCCTGTGCTGGGGGCGCGACGGCACACCGGGCGGTAGGTCTGTCTGTGTTTTGGAACCACACGATGGTCCCAACTAAAACAATCATCCGGAACATGCTGGCCGTGGGTCTGCGTGTTTCCACCCGTGAAGCTCCCATGGCGGTCCCGGGACGCATTCGGGACAGACGGGGCACGTCAGGGTCATGAGCCTTATCTTCCTGAGCTTCTGTGTTCTGCTGGAAGGACACGGTTGGGGCACCATTCCTCCCGTGTGGACACCGTGCCCACAGCGGCCGTGTGTGATTCTGCGACCTGTTAAACTGCTGTTGCCCTCAGAGCAATTCCTCTGGGGCGCTGGGGGGCTCAGTCATTAACCAGCCAGCTTCAGCTCACGTCATGATCTCACGGCTCCTGAGTTCGAGCCCCACATCGGGCTCGGTGCTGACAGCATGGAGGCTGCTTGGGATTCTCTCTCTCTCCTCTCTCAAAATAAATAAACGAAAAAAAAAGGGAGTTTCTTTTCGCAGCCTTAAACGGAGTCTGGAGGAAGAACCCCCCCCACCGCCGCCCGCCCAGTTCAGACCCGTTTCCTTCAGGAGCACGTTCCCTTCCTATTTTGCTCCTGTACGTCTTTGCTTCACGGTTGCCGAGACGCCCACCCCCGACCCCAGTGTGGACGACGAGCTCGTCGGAGCCAGAGAAGGCAGTGGAGTGAAAATGCTGGAAGTAATCAGCCAGGAGTGGTCCAGACACTCAGCCCTGGGCTCTGAGTGTCCTGTGCATCGGCCGACAGGCACCGACCCCACATTTCGGCGGAGAAGGCCGCAGGCACTCTCCGGCTCCGAGGGCCGCACCTGATTATTCTGAGCCATTTCGGGTCTGACAGGTCAGCAGATGGGCGGCTTGAGTGGCACAACCAGGACCGGGTGCCCGGAGCCCCCAGGACACGGGGAGCCCGTCTCAAGACCACATCCATGCGGTGTTCGGGGACACAGCCACGCGCCAGCCCCTGCCACAGCCTCCAGGACGACTCCCGTATCAGAGGCCCAAAACATTGTGCAAGTGTCAAAGCCTGAAAATGGTCTTCTTCAGACCCCTGGGCATATGGGTTTCGAGAATGGACCTGCAGGCTGTGGGCAGTGCCACTCGGGCATGCCACGAGGCATCTCTGGGGCTCGGTTCCCTCATGGGATCCACACAAATTCGTTGTCTTCTGCAGCTTTGTGATCCCCGTGGTCCAATCACAAGCATTGATAACCAGCATGGTGGGTGTGTTTAACTGGGAGAAGCTGAATGAGTTAAATATAGAAAACAAGACAATTCCAGTCTTTCTGCTTCTTTATGGAGGCTTTACGTATGCTGTCAGTGATGTTGATGGGACCTTTATCTATTTTTTAGATAAAGTTGCATCCGAATCAGTAGACTGTGATAAGTGGATGGTCCTCCGTAAGGTGGATGGGCCTCATCCAATCAGGTGACGGCTGTAGGAGACAAGCCTGAGCTGCCTGGAGGAGGAGGGAAGTGTGCCAGCCTCTCAGCATCCCCCGGGTCTGCACCTGTATGATGTAAACATACCCCCTCTGGGTTCTGTGTCCCCGGGTGTCCCTCTGACTAACACAACGAGCAGGAACCGGGTGAAAGCCTTCCCTAAAGGGATGATTGCTGGGGCTGTCGCCCCGGAGGTGGCCTTGCCATCATGCTGACTGCGGCCCGCAGGTCTGGGAGGTGCTGGTGTCCGAGCCCATTCGGCTCAGCTGCCCGGGGACAGGGCCGTGCCCATAACTAGACAGCCCCCGCTCTGTTCATCTCCGCTGCCCGCTCTGAGCGTCCTGATGTGTCCTGATGCCACAGCAGAGGCCCTAAGTGACGCTGCTGGAGGGATCAACGCAGGCGGCACATCCCGGCCGCCCTCATCCGACGCCCTCATCCGAAGGAGGAATGAGGACACAGGTGCACGTGGTCGGCCCAAGGAGCGGCCCCAGTGACCCAGTGACAACGTGGGGAACATAGCACAGGCAAGGGAGGGAGGCCTCGGAGAATCCTGTGAAACGCTTCTCAGAATCAGCCCACTTTGTGTTGAGGAAACTGTGTGTGTGTTCACCCCACCCCCGTCCTTCATGGCTTTGGGGTCACCCCGGCCCCCAAGCCCTGCTTCTGGTCGGGGACCCTCCCCTGGCAGAGCGCAGAGGCCCGCGCTTGCCGTGTGGAGCTGTGTGTGTCTGCCGGAACCAGACCAGCTCGGCGGCCTCAGCGGGGGGCCAGGGGGGGGGGGAGTCCTGGGCCCCTGGCATCCTTCCTCGGCCGCTGCCCCGCGGCTCGGTGAGAGCCCGTCCCCACCGCTGTGTCAACAGAGACTCCCTTCTTTGAAACACGGAATAACGTCACACGAAAACATAGGAGCCCCAGGCGGCAGCAGCACAGGGACGGGACCAGAGGTTTGGGGCCAGACACGGACTTTCCCTGCCGTGTACGTGAAGGTCAAGTGGCGGGAGACCCTGGCCAGTGGGCAGCCGTTCTGCACCCTTGAAGGGGCGTGAGGCCCAGAAGCACCAGCCGACAGCGTCCGGGGAGGACACCCACCCCCCTCCTACACACACGCGGACCCTCCGGGTTGTCCTGTCCCCGCAGTTCTCAACACACGCTTGCGATGGATACGTAATCATGACACAGTGCGCTCAGGCACGCGCATCGCAAGCCTGGCTTAAAGATGTGGCCGACCCAGGACATTCCATATGGGCAATGCCAGGACAACAGAAGAATGACAGAATTGTAATAAACCCTTCCCATCGCTGACTCCTTTCATCTTCGTAAAAGAAGCTAATTGTAATCTTGACTCTGGCCGTCTGATGGAGTCCCACGGCCTGAGTGTAGTGTCCTAGAAGGAAGCCGGTGGAAATCTGCAAGTTTTAGCTTAGCTCCACTTACCGTCAGCCTGGCTGGTGCTGCCCGATGCTTTTACAGTCCTGTGCGGTCCCTCCCGCTGCAATGTTTTGACAAGAATCTCAAGGCGGTAGGGAGGCCGCTGTTATTTCACCTCTCGGTCTTCAGCAGGACATGAGGCTTCAGGAGAGCATTTAGACATAAAAACAGACCCAGGAAAGATCCGCATTAACGCTCATGTGATAATTCAGGCCGTATGCCTCACGTTGTACACGCACGATTGATGTTGACCGAAAACAAAGTTACACTGAAAACAATTACAGCTGTCAATGAACACTCGCTCCACATTTGCGTGTTTTAGAGAATTCCAGGGCCGAGAAATATGGAACCCATTGTCTTTTAGCCATGTTCTCTTGTGGTCCGTAACACCGGGCAGCCTTTGGTACAACCGTCCAGAGTATCGCGCTTTGGAGTGCCTTG